GGGTCCCCGCACCCTTACTCCCCCGCTTTCCCCCTCCCGCCAGACTCCAGGAGCTCCGAGCTGTGTCTGGAAAGAGAATTTCTAGTCCTGGGGCACAGCTCCCCTCCCTCCTCCTGGAATAACTGTTGGGGAGGCGGGCGCTTTGGACTCCCGGCGCTGACTGTGACAGCGGTGCCTGGCCTCCTGGCGTCCGCTGGAGGCAAGGCCGCTGCCCGCAGGCCTGCCTGGCCGTGCATTCTCCTACCTTCCTGAGAGTCTTGACTGCTTTAGATGATGCCACATAAGTGAGATCATTTTGTTTTTGTCTTTAGGTGCCCAACCTGTTGTGCTTAGCATCTATGTTGTAAACGCAAGAGATCCTTGTTATAGTGATATGGTGTGTGTGTGTGTGTGAGAGAGAGAGAGCACCCTAGCATGTTTCCATGCCTTGACCATTGTAGATAATGCTGAAATGAACATGGAGTGGTACTGCATCCAGGTGGGAGGGTTGTAAAAATAGGAACTGTCCACTTAGGATCCTTGACTTCGATTACAAACTAAGAATTTCTGGACAAGTCATAATGGTAAGAAAACTGCAGAGCTTCATTGAGTAAGCAGGCAAGCAGACAAGAAACAGACAAGCAAAAAGGTAGCACACTAACAGCGTGGGTTCTCGAAGGGAGAGACCCTGGGCTCTTTGACATATGATAGTATCTGACTTAAAGTTATGCAAAGAATAGTATTTACCTTTGTTCTTAATCACTGTTCATGTCAAACTTTTACCACGTGTGCTCAAAGTCTCCAAGGCTGACCTGTACATGACCATTATGTTTGGGCAGCCCCTTTATGCCATAAACACATGATTATCCTTGAGATGAATACGCCCTGCCACAAAGTGTTTATGTGTGCCAATTGGAGCCATTGTTTCCAAGTATTTGTTTCTCCAGACTATATTTCTTTTTGTTCGTTTGCTTTTTTTTTTTTTCCGGTCGGTTGTGGGGCTTGAACTCTGGACCTGGGCACTGTCCCTAAGCTCTCTACCACTTGAGCCACAGCCCCACTTCTGGCCTTTTCTGAGTAGTTTATTGGAGATAAGAGTCTCATGGACTTTGCTGCCTGGGGTGACTTTGAACCACAGTACTCATATCCCAGTTTCCTGAGTAGGTAATTACAGGTGTGAGCCACTGACACTTAAAATACATGTCTTTTTAAAATTATATATTTCCTTCAGTTTTTAGAGCATACTAATTGGGGCCAGCAGGCAAGGTCAGATAGAGAAAGCTCCTCTTGCTCTTTTCTTTTTCCTTGTGCTAATACTAAAGCTTATGAAGGAGTACAAGGGTTAAAATAAAGAAGAGGAGCTTCTATGTTTCTAAGTACACTATTTCTAAATTCTTGGCTGCTATTCACCAGGCCTTATTTTCCCTAATCTGTCCTGCCTCATTTTCCCCTAAAACAACTTTGGTTCTTTAATCTTAAGGGAAGTTGATGGGCGAAGATCAGTCTTCTGTATTTGCTTTAAGCTGAGTTTTTGAATTTTTGGTTGCTGTTTACCATGCTTCATTTTCTGTAACATCTCACACTTTTTGGTGGAGAGAAATCTTACCTCCTTCATTGATTTTTAATCTCTAAATATTCTTCTTTTTATTATTGTGAGTCTAAACATTACATAGTTTAAACTTATAATTTTTTAATTTTTATTTTTGTTGGTTGTGCGGCCTGAACTCTGGGCCTGGGTGTTGTCCCTCAGCTTGTCAGTTCAAGGCTAGTACTCTACCACTTATGCCACAATGCCATTTCTGGCGTTTTCTGCTTATGTGGTGTTGAGGACTAGAATCCAGGGCCTCATGCATTCAAGGTAAGCACTCCACCACTAAGCCACCTTCCCAACCCCCTACACTTATGTAATTTTAACAATAATATTACTTGCATAAAGTGGTTTTACTGTGGTATTTCCATACATGCATACAAAGTAGTTTAATCATATTCACATCCCCAGGAACTTTTCTTCCTTCCCTGATTTCTATTTTATATATTTAGTCTAGATTCCAGATATGTGAGAAAGAAAATATGTGATAATCATTTTTCTAAGTCTGGTCTGTTTCACTGATATGATGGTCTACTGTTGCATTTTCCTGCAGAATACATAATTTTGTTTTTATTTGAATAATATTCTATTGTGTGTGTATATATATGCACCAAATTACCTTCATCTATGTATCACTTGATGGGCATGTAATACGTTTCCATGACACAGCTGTTGTATAATAAGCAAGTGCACAGGTGTCTGTATTGTATGCTGACTTACCTGCCTTCAGATATAGGCCCAGTAGTGGCATGTCACTATTATGTTGAAGCTCCATTGTTAGTTTTTTGAAGAACTTACATCGTGGCTGGGCTAATTCATATTCCCAACGACAGTGGGACTATAAAGCTTCAATTTTCCCGCTACACCCTTGCAGATATTTGATTTTTCCTTCATGATAGCCATTCTGACTATAGCAAAGGTGGAATCTCAAGGTCATTTTGATTGTTACTTTTATGACACCCTGGAGGTTGCACACTTCATGTTGAAATGAAATGAGGCACTTAGAAGCCCTGTCAGCCACTGCTAGGTGAACCTGTGGAACCCCCTAGAAAAAGAACAGGGTGTTGAGTGTGGGCGGCCGATTCTGAGAAATGAGCTTAGCACCTACATTTTGCTGGCGACCCTGTGTTCTGGCCCTGTATATGCTTGGCTTGTATAACCTCAGGAAGTTCTAACTACTTCACTGACCCATGCCCACCCCCCCCCCCGGGCTGCCCCTGGGTCCCCGATACCTCGGAGCAGCCACGCCGGTTACATTTCTTTTCGCTGCTACTAAGTCACCTCCTAAGATTCAGTCTGAGTCCCGAGACAGCCTGGGTGTCACGGAGTGCCTCCCGCCCACTAGTCTGGGTCGGTCCCGCCGAGAGGCTGGCCTGGGGCCGCAGCCCGCGCCGCGCGGGGTCCGCG